ATCTTAAAAGAAGATAAGGCTTTTGTGAATGCATCACACTGAAGTCAACACCCTCATACATGTTACTTAAGCAAATGCATGGCAGACACAACAATGCTTTCTTATTTTATTTTACTTTTGAGTATGTTTGTCTCTCTGTGTATGCACATGTGTGCAGATACTCTCAGAGTCCAGAAGAGGGATTGGGTGCTTTGGAGCTGGAGTTTCAGGCAGTTGTGCACTGCCTGAGGTAGTTGCTGGAACTTGGGTTTTCTGAAAAAGCACTGAGTTATCTCTCTAGCCTCCACAATAGTGCTTCTATCCTCTGCCTTAGTTAGGTTTACTATTGCTGTGATGGAACACCATGACCAAAGCACTCTGGGGAGTCTTCCGGTTTTATTGCTGTAAAGAGACACCATGACCACAACAGGTCTTATAAAGGAAAGCATTTATTTGGGGCTGGCTTACATCCGGAAGTTTAGTTTATTATTGCCATGGCAGACATGTGCTGGAGAGGTAGCTGAGAGTTCTGCCTCTGACATTGGCTTGTATTAAGGTCACATAAGATTTGCTAGTACATCCCCTCAAGAAGCATCAACACTCTGGCTTTCTTGTCTCCTCCTGACTTCTGGGCACGCCTCACACTGAGTGCCTCCTTGTGCTCATGCTCCTTAAACGTCTGCCATCTGTCCACCCACATGTCTGAGGCTCCGCCGGTCTGCCTAATGCATCACATGTGGCCCATCTGAAGGAGGTATCCACTGTCTGACCCCCTCTGAAGCTCTCCTGCTGCCTGGCCAGGAGCAGATATTCTCCTGTGCTCTCTTGTCTCTCTAACTGTCCTGGCCCTGTGCTGTTGGCTTGTCTTCTGAAGGTCCCATTTAGCTGGAGCTGAGCATACAGAACTTCTAGAATGGTAGCTGCGGCTCTCAGCAGTCCCACCCTTTCCTTCACTGTCTGGACTCCTGTGGAGGCGTCTGAGCGTTAGATCCATTTCTTCTTTGAAATTCTGCTTGTTAGTAAGTTTGTGTGTGTGTCCATGTATGTGGGTACACAGGCCTGAGCACTGGTATGAAGAGGCCACAGGAGATCACTGGTGTCTTCCTCTGTTGCTGTCCACCTTTTAAGACAGGGTCTCTCACTGAATCGGAAGCTCAGCCTTAGAGCTAGACTTAGGGCCAGCCATGGAGCCCATGATCTGGGTATCTCTGTCATTGTGCATGTTTTTTTTTTTTTTTTTTTTTTTTTTTTTCCAGATGGGGTTTCTCTGTGCCACTTTGGCTGTCCTGGACTCAATTTGTAGACCAGGCTGGCCTCAAACTCACAGCGATCCACCTGCTTCTGCCTCCCTGAGTGCTGGGATTACAGGCTTGTGCCACAGCACCTGACTCCATGTCTGTTTTTGCACACAGGCGCTCGCTGGGGATTTGAATTTAGGTTCTCAGCTTGTGCACCCACTGGACCATCTTCCTGGCCCTTTGATTAACATTCTTCTATGTTCAAATTCTGCATTTGCTAATGTGTGTTTTGAATTTCTACATTTTAGGATCACCACTTTAACATTATATAGTATTCTAAAAACATGAAAAATATGTAAAGAATAACAAAAATTCAAGAAGAAAACATAATAAAATCTCATTCTACTTAATAAGTAAAATATAACCAATACAAAGTCAAGCTTTGGCTTTGCTAATGTACTCATCCCAGAGAGGGTCACTGTAAAAATCCAGGTTAAATAGGGCATGATGGACCTTTCCCTCCGCTGCCGTCGAGGTGCTCGGTCCTTCCGAGTGAGCTAAGGCTGCTTTGGGGTGAGGCCCTCACTTCATCCAGCGACTAACACTGTGCCGTCAATCCACAACAAGGCCTCAGTCTCCGAGCTCGCCGGCAACTACTCCGCCCTCATCCTTCATCATCCTCATCCTTCACGTGCGTGACGAAGTGATGGTCACAGAGGATAAGATCAATGCCCTCATTAAAACAGCTGGTGTCAACTTTGAACCATCCTGGCCTGGCTTGTTTGCAAAGGCCCTGGCCGATGTCAACATCTGCAATGTAGGGGCTGGTGGGCCAGCGACAGCAGCTGGAGCTGTACCAGCAGAAGGTCCTGCCCCAGCCACTGCTGCTGCCCCAGCTGAGGAGAAGAAAGTGGAAGCAAAGAAGGAAGAATCTGAGGAGTCTGAGGATGACATGGGCTTTGGTCTTTTTGACTAAACCTCTTGTTAATATGTCCAATAAAAAGCTGAACCGGTAAAAAAAAAAAACAAAAACAAAAACTGGGCATGATGATGTGCACCTTTAAATCCCAACACTAGGAAGACAGAGGCAGGTGGATTTCTGTGAGTCTGAGGACAGCCTGGTCTACAAATTGAGTCCAGGACAGCCAAGGCTACACAGAGAAACCCTGTCTTGAAAAACCATAAATAAATAAATAATCTGGGGTTGTCTCTTTTTACCTCATCTTGCTAGTGAGACAAGACCACAAACCTTCTCTCTGCATCTGCCAAGTGCTGAGATCACAGGTGTTCAGCATCCGAGGCAGAAAGAGTGTCACGAGTTTGAGGTCTGCCTGGATCATATAGTGAGTATGAGATCTTGTCTCAAAAATCACAACACACACACACACACACACACACACACACACACACACACACCCCAAAACCAAATGAAAACAACAACAATAACAAAAATAAAACAAAACAAAAAGAACAAACCAGGGCTACACAGAGAAACCCTATCTGGAGAAAGCAAAAACAAACAAACAAAACCAAAAAACAAACTGGGGCGATTCCAGTTAAGTCACAAGGAAAAAGCACTGCACAGATCTGTCCACCCTGTCGGTCTCTGTCTCTCTCTCCCTCTGAAACCCTTACCATCAGGAGCTAACCAGACAGAGCACACAGCAGCCATTTGTACGCTTTGGGACACATCAAAAGCTGTAATTAATTGTTTTTCAGGTATCTGAATTATAAACCATTTTTCTAACTGCTCATTAGTACTTTTTAAAAAAATGTCAATGGAACATGGACTTTTTTTGGCTTACAGAAATATATTAAAATTAATGAAATTGTTATTACTATTAATTAGTACAAGTAGTAGTAGTAGTTTTTTTGAGACATAACCTTGGCTATCCTGAACTTGATACGTAGACTAGGGTGGCCTTGAACTCACAGAGACCTGCTTGCTTGTCTCCTGAATGCTGGGATTAAAGGCATGTGCTACATCATGTTGACACGTAGTCTAAAAAAGACTTATATGTTTGTGTGTATCTGTTTATGCATGTGTTCGCAGGTGTACAGGTACCTGTGCCTGTGTGTGCTGGAGGACAGGTGTCAAGCGTCTTTTAGGACTCTTTACCCATTCCTTTGAGACAAAGACTCCCTCAGCTGAGGCGAGTTTTCTCAGCTTGGCTGTAAGCCTTCAAGTCCTAACTGCAGTCTATGTACATGGGATGCCCAATTTGTTACGTGGGTGCTGAGATTCCAACTCTGGTCCTCATGATTGCTCAAAAAGTGCTCTAAACCACTGGGTCATCTTTCTAGGTTTAATATAAAAGGCTTGCAACAGGTAAGCCAAGTAAACCCTTTAAGTTTCCAGGCATGGATCCATTTATTTATTTATTTTTATTTATTTATTTACTTATGTAAGGCAAGAAAACCCTTGAAGTTTTCAGGCACGGATCCATGTATGTATGTATGTATGTATGTATGTATGTATGTATGTATGTATGCATGTTTTTTGAGTCAGGGTTTCTTTGTGAAACAGTCCTGGCTGTCCTGGAATTCACAGAGTAGACCAGGCTGGCCTTAAACTCACAGAAGTTACCTGCCTCTCCTGGGATTAAAGACATGTGCCACCACTGCCCAGCTCAATCGTGTATTTATAAATAAATACATTTATTTTTACTTTATATGTAGGGTGTTCTATCCTAACGTATGTCTGTGTATCATGTGTGTGCCTGGTGTCCATGGAAGTCAGAAGAGGGCATTGGATTCAGGGACTGGAGTTACAGATAGATGTAAATCATCATGTGGGTGCTGGAAATAAAAAACCAGTCCCTTTTGAAGAGTAACAAGTGCAGTTGCTGAGCCATTAATCATGTAGGTTCACGACAAGATGGCTACAGTGTAGTTCAGTGGGCCTTGAATTCACTACTCCTCCCAAGTAGCTGTGACTATTGGTGCATGCCACTGTGCCCAGCTTCAATTTAAACACTTAGTTTTGAGACAGATTCTTGCTGTATAGCCCAGGCTGACTTTCCACTTGAGGCCCTCTTACCTTTGCTTCATAAATCCTGGGATTATAGGCATGTTCCACCATGACACTTAATCTTGAATCTTTAACCCTGACATTACAGATCATATACGAGATGACATGTGCATAAGTCATTAATCCAAGTCTCTAAGCATCTTCTGGGGGATGGTAAAGGCTCATTTATTTTTGTGGCTATACACTGGATTGCTGTTTTACTTTCTTTCTTCAGACAGGGTCTCTCTATGTAGCTTTGGCAGATAGGGCTGGCTCAACCTCAGAAATGTGCCTGCCTCTGCCTCCAGAGGGTTGGGAGCAAAGGTGCGTGCTACCACGTCCAACTAAGGTGGCTTTTACTGTCATGACATAATGCCCCAAACAGCCCTCTTTCAAGCCTCTTGCTTTAACTCTAACTGTTAAAGCACAACTGGCAGTCATATAACCCATTCCTTCTCTACTGTCAGTCACTCCCAGCCCTTGGTCACAGGCTGTAGTTTGTCCTGTTGACTCTAAGTGTGTAAGGGGCGCAGTCCCCATCTTGTCTGTGTCCTATCTCATAGTACAGCTCACAGACAGATGATCCATAAATGGCTACTGCACTTTCTGCTTGATGCTCCAGGCTTGTCCACATCATGCAACTGTTATCTGGGTGAGAACTTTGCTCTATAAATAGGCAGTTTCTGTTTCAGGCATGGTTTGCTGCGATATACCCCTCCGCTGCTCCATGCAAGCCTCTTAGAAACGGAGGGTCAGAGAGAGAGGTATTCAAATACTCCACCACAATACCTTTGGCCCTCATAAGAACCAGCACAGTCAGGGTCGTTCTTTCCCCCTCGATATCCTTGGCTGCTGTCCACAGAGAACTCCTCCTGAGAATTGCCTGTGCTTCCATGCTGTTCTGTTTGCTGTTTCCATTTCTTTCAGGGATCAAGTTGACATGGCTCAGCAGTGCTTCCACAGTGAATATTTTGACAGTCTGCTGCATGCTTGCAAACCTTGTCACCTTCGATGTTCTAACCCTCCTGTACCCTGCCAGCCTTACTGTAATCCAAGTAAGTGAAACTCCTCAACAGCAGCTTCTTGGTGCGAGGATTCTCTTGAAAGTGTCTTTTTATCACCAGAGAGCAAATGTTATGGAGAAGATGGGGAGATTTGTTTTGTTTTGTTTTTCTGAACCAAAACCAGAAAAGAAATAAAACAATAATTTAAATGTCTCCTGAAGCAAAGGAATTATTCAGAACAAAACTTAATTTTATTCATTAGCTCTTAATTAAATGGTATTTAGAATTAAAAATGTTGGGGGAACCAAGGATGGGTAGCAGTGATTCTCAACCTTCCCAACACCGTGACCCTTTAATACAGTTCCTCATGCTCTGGTGACTCCCAACCATATAATTATTTTCATTGCCACTTTATAACTGCGTGTTCAGTTCTGGGGCTCTGTTCCCAGCAGTGTGTATAGTCATGGTGCTGCAGATCTGTAATTTCAGCCCTTGTGTAGGAAGTAGAGACTGGAAAGACCAGAAGTTCAAGGTCATCCTTGGCTATGGATGAGTTTGAGGCCAGCCTGAGCTATATGAGACTTTGTCTGAAAAAGCACCCCCTAAAGTAAGATGATCATGAATATGCATTAGGGAGTTGAGCAAATTCATACTTGGTGTTAATACTGAGCTCTGGCTTCATATCGCTGTGACATTCTTTTAATAAAGGCATCTCCAGTTCAGTAAAAGGGACATATACTGATCTCTGGACCTTCTTGGGCTTGACCTTGATCGTTTCTTTGGCACTTTTCACACTCACACTCTTGCTGAGGAAGATGAACTCTGAAGCCCTGAAGGAAAAACTTCAAAACCCAGGTCAGTTTGATCGTGAATCTTTGAAATCTATTTCTGTAAGAGTGGCTCTTCCAGGTTTCATTTCCTTTTCTTTTTTTAACTTTGACTTTTTTTTTTTTTTTTTTTTTGTTGTTGTTGTTATAGCACCTTCAAGTCTGTTAGTGGGTAGTTATTTGAAAATTTGAGCTGGGTGTGGTGGCACATGCCTGTCATTTTTAGCACCTGGGTAGTGGAGGCAGGTGGGTCAAAGAGGTCAAAGTCAGCTACATACAGAGTTTGAGGTCAGCTAGGTCTACATGTCTTGAAGTAAAACATTAAAACAACAACAACAAAACAAACCACCAACTGCCCCCTCCAAACAAAACAAAACAAAGAAATTCTGGCATTGACACTACTTTTCATGTCTCCTTTGGTCGCCCATTTCCTGTAGAAAAAAATTAATTCAGAACATGGCTGCTCTGATCATACCCAAAGACCTTCAAGGCTGGTATACAGATATGCCTTTAATGCCAGGAGACAGAGGCAACCAGATCTCTGCGTTCAAGGCCAGGCTGGTATAGAGCAAGTTTCAGGTATAGAAAAGCTTAGGTCCGGGTGTGGTGGTACACGCCTTTAGTCCTAGCATTTAGGAGACAGAGGCATGCAGATCTTGGAGTTCTGTTCAGGAAGTTCAATTGAGAGTTGAGACGCAGGGCAGGGGAGTTGAGTTCATGGAAATCAGAGGCAGTTTTTACTGGGAGAGTTTCACGGAGAGAGGCTGGAGACAGAACAAGAACAAGCTAGACCCAGAATGAGCCAGAGAATGAGGAGACTGAAGATTAGAACAGATTGCCAAAGTCAGTATGAGTTCAAGCACAGCAATTCAGTCAGAGGCTGAGTGAGAATGAATCAGTCAGCTTGGTGAGGAGTTTGAGCCTAAACAGCTGAGTTGAAGCAGCCAGCTAGAGTTCAAAAAGAACCAAAAAGGTGAGCTAATTCAGCAGTAAGTCTCAGGGACTGAACACATTATAGGCTTAGATTTGATTGTATGGAGGCTAGAAGCTTCCAGGACTAGGCCTAGGTTAGCAGAAAGAGGCAGTAAGCATCTAAGACAATTGAATCAGTTGAATTAAAACTTACTCTTACATTGCCCCCTCGTTTTTCTCTTGGTAGCTGCTCTTGAGACTTCCTTGGGAAGTGTCTTTGACTGAAGTTATCACTAATGATACTGTGATATCACACATTGCTAGACAGACCTGGTACTCCCAGGCTCAGTGTATTTGGCAAGATCCCTGGTTGTGGTTTGTTGGTTTGTTTTGGTTTTTCAAGACATGGTTTATGGTTTCTCAGTTTTAGTCCTGGCTGTCCTGAACTCACTGTGTAGACCAGGCTGGCAGAACTTACAGAGGTCTGCCTGCCTTTGCCTCCTGGATGCTGGGACTAAAGGTGCATGCTACCATGCCTGGCCCTTGGTCATGTTTTTTTGATACAATTACAAGCACTGTTTCCCTGTGTGTGTTTCACTGCCCAAATGCCAAAAATAACCAGTTTTTCCTGATTCACTGCCTATCTCAAGAATAATTGTTAAGCAAGAGAGTGCCAGTCTCAGAGACATAGGTGTGAAACTCGAAGGTCTCCTAAGCTAAACATATTTTTATTGCATTCTTCTCTGTGATCTGATTCTCAGACACAGAGCAGCCATTGTTCTGCATCTTTTTTTTTTTTTTTAATTCACTTTGTTTTTGCACATGCTCATGTGTGCACATGCAGAGGTTAGAGTAGGACATGGCTACTTCCTCTATTGCTCTCCACCTGTTGCCAAGAGACAGGGTCTCCTGTGGAGCAGAGCATGCTGTTCCAGTTTTGCTGTCTCACTCCTGTCTCTGCCACTGGGAGGTTACATGCTGGAGTTACAAGAACGTGTTTATTACCAGTGTGCTAGAGATTCAATTCAGCTCCTCACGTGCTTCCTTCAAGTTCTTATACACTAAGCCGCCGTCCTGCTCCTTGTCTTGCTTCTTTATGGATTTGTTTTCCATGCACAATCTGCAAAGCACCTGCCCCATTTGCTTTCTAGTGTAGCAGGAGCATGGAAAATTCATTCTTCTCTCCTTGATGTGGTCCAATAGACAAAAAAAATTTTTTTCATTGTTCTTAAAGTCCCGTGTTTACATGCATATCTGAGACTGGGTTTGTACACGTAAGCACAGAGCCTTTGGATGGCAGAAAAGGGCACTAGATCCCCTGACGTTGGAGTTACAGGTAGTTGCTTGGGACTGAACTGAGGCCCTCTAGAAGAGCAATAATGGCTCTTAACTGACAAGCCACCTCTTCAGCCTTAGAATTAAATTTTTCAATATACAAATTGTACATTTATAAAGTATGTGACATAATATTCTGATTACAGACACGTAGGGAAACAGTGAGTACAGTCAAACATATCTGTATCTTTACATAGTTGACCTTTCTTGGTGAGGGTCTCCCACATCACACGCTGGCCTTGGACTATGTAGCTCAGGATGCCACCATCTCTCCAGGGCTGGCTTTACAGGTGTGCTCCATCAGGCCTGGTTTGTGAAGTTGTGGTGATTGAATCCAGAGCCTGTGGTGCTCAGTCTGCCAGCCGAGCCCCACCCTCGGCCCTGAACCATCCTTCCCGGTGGTGAGGCTTGTTGGAATCCACTCTGCTACATGCAGCTCTACACTGTTATCCACTCATCTTGCTCCACACTCAGCTTATGTAACTGCAGCTCTGCACTCCCAACCATCCACTCTCATTTCCCTGCCTCCTTCCTCTGGTAACACCACTCTATTGATTTTCTCTAAGTGGAAGTGAGGTCAGGCAGGCTTTTTCTTTCCATGCTTGCTGTATTTCTAGAGCAACTCTGAATTATATGTTTTATCATCTATTTATATGTACATAGATGTTTCACCTCACATATGTTGTTTGTGTACCACATGCATGCATTGGCCCCAGAAGTCCAAGTGCCCTGGGACTGGAGTTACAGACAGTTGTAAGCCACCATGAGATTGCTGGGAATCGAACCCATGTCTTCTGCAAGAGCAGCAGAGCTGTTAGTGTCTATGCCATTTCTCCAAACCCCTGGAAGACATGTTTTAGAAGATAAAGTTCCACTGTGACATGTTGTGAAGCAGAAGCTTAATATTTTCTGTGAGAGTGTGTGTAGGTGCATGCCACAGCATGTGTGGAGGTCAGAGGACAACTCTTAGGAATCACTTCTCATCTTCCAGTTTGTTTGAGGCAGGGTCTCTCTTGTTTTTATACATTGATAGCTGGTCTTTAAGCTTCTGGGGCAACTCTATTGTCTCTGCCTCTAATCTCACTGTAGAGCTGGGTGATAGCTGTCTGCTGCTGCACTCCATTTTTTGATTCTGAATTCAAGTCATCAGGCTTGTGCAACAAGTACCTTTTTTGTTTGTTTGTTGAGACAGGCTGTCCTGAACTCACATTGTAGACCAGGGTGGCCTTGAACTCAGAGATCTGCCTGCCTCTGCCTCACTAGTGCTGGGATTAAAGGCATGTGCCCCTACTACAGGGTGCAATAAGTGCTTTTTAAAACCCATTCTTCTGGGGACTTCTATATGGGATCAAAAGAAATTCATTAAAAAATGATTTATCTGGGCTGGAGAGATGTCTCAGAGGTTAAGAGTACTGTCTGTTCTTCCAGAGGTCCTGAGTTCAATTCCCACATGATGGCTCATAACCATCTACAGTGAGACCTGGTGCCCTCTTCTGGTATGCAGGCATACATGCAGGCAAAACATTGTATACATAATAAATAATTTTTTTTAAAAAAAATGATTTATCCAGGAGTATAGTCTTCACCTGTAATTAGTACTCGGGAGGCTGAAGCAAGCAGAAAGATCACCAACAGTTTGAGGCCATGAGCTGGAGAGATGGCTCAGTGTCTATGAGTACTTGCTGCTTTTATAGAGGATCAAGGTTTGGTTTCCAGCATCCACTTGGCAGCTCACAACTTTTTGTAACTTCTGTTCCAGGGATCTTATATTTCTTCTGCACCAGGAATATGCACAGTACATGCACATACATGCAATAAATACACAAACACATTATAGAAGAAAATGAGTTGGAGGCCAGCCTGGGCTACAATGAGTTCTAGGCTAACTTGGGCTACAGAATGAGCCCTTGACATGCGCACACACGCTCGCACACACACACACACACACACACACACACACACACACACACACCCACACACCCATGTGTACCACACTGTACTGAAAAATGCTTTGTAAGATGTCTTGTCAGGAAAACTAGGACACAGCAGACAGAAGGACACATCTTTAGGGGTGTAGATAGATACTTGCTGCCAAGCCTGTTTAGACTGCTAAGTTTGATCCACTCCCATCAGCTCTCCTGATGGTCATGGATGTGCTGTGCTGTGACTCCTACTACCATAATACATACATTTAAAAAATACCTTCTATATTCTTTTCCCCTCTGGTACTGGGGATTGAGCTCAGGGCCTCCTTGAACATGTTGGCTCCCATCTCTTTGTGCCTTAGCCTCTGAGTGGCTGAGTTACAAGTGTGTGCCACCACACTCAGCTTTTGCTTCTCTATTCCAAAATGCCACTCACAGGCTGACTGATGTGCTGTGACATATGCTAATTTCCTGTGTAAGATGAGGTCAAATCCTCAGAACTTCCAAGAGCCACGTGGGTAATAAGTACATGGACTGATTCAGTTTTCGGCTTTACCAACAAGGGTACCCAGCATGTGCTTGAAGGTAGCAGCTGCTTTCTTTGACTACAGCCCACTCTCTCCATGTCCCTCCTGTTGTTACATCTTATTGTCTTTATAGAGTTTGGTTGTATAGATTTTGTGAAATCTCCTGGGTTTCAAATGCAATGAAGCTAACAAGATTTAATAACTCCATATTCTGCTGGGCATGGTGCCACACACATTTATTCCCAATACTCGGGAGGCAGAGGCAGGTGGATCTCAGTGAGTTTGAGGCCAGCCTAGTTTACAGAGTTCCAGTATAGCCATGGCTACACAGAGAAACCTTTTCCTCCCTCCCACCACAAAAAAAGAACTCCATATTCTCTCAAGGCGACCTGCCTCAGGGCCGTACATGGGCTGGGGTCTCAGGTGGTGTCTCTTGGTATAGCATGAGCTTGCTCTTGGTTTCCTGCTGCTCTGTGTCATACATGGCATGACAGTACCACTGGAACCTTCAGGTCTGTTTCTGTATCAACAGGATCGGTTCTTCTGGACAAGGCCAATACTGACTCAATTGAGAGGGCTGGTGATGAAAGGATTCCTCCTCAAAGCCTGGAGTACACAGTGGAAGAATGTTCCTGTGAGGACTGTGTCAAGAGCAACCCCAACGTTGATTCTGACCATTTCTTCCCGCTTCCAGCCATAGAGGAGGGTGCGACCATTCTTGTCACCACAAAAACGAATGGCTATGGCAAGACTGTGTCAACTGCTTTGGAAAGTATCACAGGGATGGAGAAGCTCACTCCTTCTAGAAAATCAACCTTCTGACTGGTGTCAGGCCTCTTAGAGAGCCTTTTGTTAGGAGAGCTGATGCTTCAGGTGTCTTTAGGATGACAGTCTTATCCACTGGAATACAGCTTTTTGTCCTTTCATTCTGGTTTTGAATCTCTAAAACAAAAACAAAACTGGGCCGTGGGAATGCATGCTTTAATTCCAGCACTCAGGAGGCAGAGGCAGAGGCAGAGGCAGAGGCAGAGGCAGAGGCAGAGGCAGAGGCAGAGGCAGAGGCAGAGGCAGAGGCAGAGGCAGAACTCTGTGAGTTTGAGGCCAGCCCAGTCTACAGAGATAGTTCCAGGACAACCAGGGCTACACAGAAAAACCCTGTCTCAGAAAACAGAACAAATAAACAAAAAGCTTTCTGCCATCTATAGGCCCCAGAGTATCATGTTTCTACTGAGGCACCCACAAACATGGTATATATTTCAGGACAAACTGGATTCTCCTGATAGCCAAAGTTAGCAGGATTACCCTGTGTTTCTCTGTAAATAGAAGCCAGGCCAAGTCTGTGTGCAGTGCACCAGCTCTTTAAGTTCCCAGTTTATGGATGCAGCAGATGTTAACATGCTCATATAAATGCATATTACTGCTAACTGTGACAAGCATGAACCTGGTAATGTTTTCAGCTCAAGTGCAAGTGTGTGCAATCACCTATGTAGGTTTAATGGTGCCAGAGACTGCTCCAAGTCATTTTACACATACAAAATACTATAAGGAAGGTAGGTCATTATCACTTCCATCTTACAAATGCTGTTAGGATCGAGGATGTGGCTTAGTGTAGAATATTTACCTAGCATACTCAAGGTCCTAGGGTCAACCTCCGACTTAACACACACACCACACACTGGGGAGAAGGGAGGGAGAGTGGGAGGGAGAGAGAGAGAGTGTGTGTGTGTCAGAGTGTCTGAGCAGGGTAACAGCCAGGGAGTGATGTCTTACTTTGTGAAATTGTAACAAGACACTTGAGTCTTGATAATGTAAAAGTACCAAAAGGAATCACTTTCCTTACAGGCTAGTCTTGAATTCTAGATTCTCCTGCCTCCACCTCTGGACTGGGATTATAGGTATACATCACCATTCCACACTCGATCTGCCCAAGTTGCAGAGTTGGAGATACTGGTGTCCAGTGAGAGTTCTGGCTGTGTTCTAACAGGGTGGAAGGTGGAGGCCTTTGGCTGAACCCATGTGACATCTCTGTAGGCCTTAAGACCTCGGGTGAAGGGGAGCTCCGTGGCTTAGCCACCTCCCTTTTCTTTGTAACGTTGGGAATAAAATCCAGGGCCTCATACTGTGATCCTCCTCTGCACTATAGCTTCTAGCTCTTTATTATTTTTGTATTTCTGACCAAGAGTCTAAGTTACTCAGGCCAGATGACTCCAGCCTCATACTCAGCAGGGGGAAACTAGGCTTTCAACCCCAGCATTAAAATAGGGCCTAGCCCTGTGCTTCACAGTCGCTGTGAATCTAGCACTGTGTTTTCACAGCACCCTTTTCTCTCACTGTTGCCTCGAGAGCCACCTGGCCAACTACCGGAGCTCCCTAACCAATGCCATTCTCCCTAGCCCCATTATGCGTTCTCATTCGACAAAGTACTCTCTTGTTGAGACAAGTTTCCCCTAAGTACCTCAGGTCATAAATCACGATTCTTCTGCTCCACACCTTGTGGATGATTAAAAGTATGTACCATCAAACCAGGATTGCAAGGCAAGTTTTACTTTTCTTTTCTTTTCTGAAACAGGGTTTTTTTGGTAGCCTTGGCTGTAGACCAGGCTGGCCTCGAATTCAAAGATCTGTCTGCCTATGCTTCCTAAGTGCTGAGATTAAAGGCGTGTCTGGTTTTTTTTTTTTTTTTTTTTTTTTACTTTCTATGGCTTTGAATTCGCCTTGTTTTTGTTGTACACACAGTTGAAGCTTTGGCCTCACGCATACAAGGCACGTGCTCTATCACTGAGCTACATTCCCAGCTCTTGAACTCCAGCTCAGGCTCCTCACTCAGCCTCTGGGATGCTGGGATCTAAGGGCTGTACCACCAGGCCCTGCAGGCCCACTACTCTTTTCTTCTTCTGTTTCTGAGACAGGGTCTGAGGTAGCTTAATCAAGTCTCGAACTCACTCGATATTTCACGGATGACTTTGAACTCCTGATCCTTCTGCCTTCTCCCTAGGGCTGGTTTGACAGACATGCACCAGTGCTCCAGGCTCCCAGTACTCTTATTCCACCTCCCTCTCCGGACCTCAGTTTTGGCGGATGTCTTCTTCCCGCCTTGGGGAGAGGGAGGCATTTATCCGCTGAGGTCCCGAGTCTCGTCTCCGCCACCCTAGAACCTCGACTCGCGAGAGTATTTTGGTTCCGGGTCGGGAGGCGGGCTCCTGGAGGGCTCCTGCTTCCGGGGCGGGGCCAGCTGGAGGGGCGCGCTCTCTCCCGGCCTGTGTGGAGCTCGGCGGCTGCAGACGCGGCGGCGACGGCGGCGGCACGGCAGGCGGCGGCCCCGGGAGCGGCAACATGAGCGGTGAGTGGCGGCCCCGCTGCTGTCACCCGCCGTGTGGCGCCGCTGTAGCCGCACGCTCCGGGCCCGGTGTCCCCGCACTCTGCAGACCCCCGCGGGGTCGCTCGCAGGCTCGGAGCCTGCCCCCCGGTCTCCTGCACCGCTCTCACTGCCGGGGCTGGCGCTCCTGTCCCTCCGCGCCATGAGTGACAGCCAACTCCTAGAGCAGAGCTTGCTCCCCAGTCCCTCTCAGACCCTCCCAACCCGCCGATCCTTTTGACACGTTTCCACACCCGGGATTCTCAGATCCCTGGTGCGTGCCACAGTCCCTCTCCCTCTGGGACCCAGCACCAGTTACCTTTCTCTGTTTTTTTTTTTTTTTGTTTTTTTTTTTTTGTCACTCTCCGGTCCAGCTCTCTTATCCTTAGTGACTCCTCTTTCTCCAAAGGCAAAGAACATCTCTAGTCCCTGCTGACCTCCAACCTCTGTCCATAGCAAACCAGAGTGGCAGCTCCTAGTCCCCAGAGGTCTGAGCGTTACGACCGCTTTGTCTTCTGTGCCTCTTACTCCCTGCACCGTGTCTCCAGAGCCGGCCCATTAGCCTCGCAGCTTCCCTCTCGGCTGTGCCTTTTTCATTTGGGCTGTTGCTTCATGGTCCAGCTCTCTCCATTTCTTCCCCTAGCTCATCGTTTGAGGTCTCTGGTTGTGTCCTGCAGCCCTTTCCTTCTTGCCCAGTGCTGAACCTAAATGGGGCTGATGCCTTGCCCAAGCCAATACCACCAGAGGGGAGATGGAGCAGGTAGGGAGGCTGGAAGTGAGAGGAAGGTGGGTGTGGACGACTCGTGTTCGGTGATACTGAAGTTTAGTCCCTTGAGTCTGAGTCTCCATCCTTGCCTCCCTTGGAAGAGTCCAGATGATGTTTTGGTGCTAAGTCATTCCTGGGTGTTGCATGTGGAGATGGGAGTGACTCAGGAAAGCCTCGTGTTGGCTGTTGAGACTCTTGCTGGACACAGGCATCTGGATTCCTTTAGGAGGACCCGCCTTCGTTTTTTCTTACTGTGCAGTTGAATTTTAGAGTCCTTGAATCCAGTCCCTGGCCTTTCATTCAGGTGGTTTATGGGTGGAGAGGGTGTTAGGGCAAAGGAGCAGAGGAGAGTCTTTATTGTTAGCTTTTAAGTTATTTTTGTACACCTTTAAAAAGATGTTATTGAAGAGTAAGGTTTATGGAACTGTGGTGTTATTGAGGGAACTGGTGGAGGGGTTTTCCAGTTTATTGGCATCTGCCGAAGTGAATCACTGAGCGTAGTGAAGGTTTCAGATCCTTGACTGCTAATGATATAGCAAAGATGTGCGGTGACATCCACCAAGAGGTGATGGAGCCCAATTTACTGGATTTAAATCTCAGTTCTAACACACAAAGCTGTATAATTTTCATTAATTAATTTAGTATGTGTATGCATGTGTGTGTGTGTGTGTGTGTGTGTGTGCAGGTGTGTGTTTTTATGTGCACTTGTGTAGGAGGGCCAGAAGTGTGCTTTGTGTGTCTTTCTCTACGCTTTCTTCCTTATTTGTTGAGACCATGCCTCACTGGTTCCAGAGGTCATTCCAGTTAGACTCTCTGGGCCTAGAGTCTTGGGAATCCTTCTGTGTCTGCATCAGCACGCCAGTGCTACTACATGCCAGGCTTTAACCGTGGGCGCTGGGGATCTGGACTCAGGTTCTCATGCTTACGCAGCCAACTCTTTACTGACTGAGCCATTTCTTAGCCATCTTTGAAGCTGCATAAGTTAGAATAACTAAGGTGGAATTCCTGTCAAAGTGAGCATACACAATAGCATCTGTTTTCTAGACTAGTAATGACTTACTTTGCTTAGCTAACTGACTGGTGTTATGCCACTTAGCAGGGTTCATTGTTACTGTTTCCATAAAAGTGGAGTGGGGACTGGGCACAGGCTTGCTTCTTGGCCCCTCTGGGACAAAGGTGGGAACTAGGCACTCAGAGATACTTGGTGAAGATGATGAAATAACCTAGAGCTGGTCCTGTGTCCTCTCACTGAAGATACCTTAGTCCTAATCTTTTCCTTTTAATGTGACCAAAGGGCCTGCCATAGACCCAGATTTCTGGAGTAGAAATTCATTTGCATTTATTAGAGGAGGAGCTAAAATTGAGAAACTGAAGGAAATTGATTCGTCTCTTTCTCTTTCTGAGACAGGGTTTCTCTGTATAGCCTTGGCTGTCTTTGTAGACCAGGATGTACTTGAACTCCCAAGGATCTACCTGCCTCTGCCTCCTTGAATGCTAGGATATAGGGCCAAACTCAAGTCATCAGTTGGCTGCAAATACTTAAGCCAGAGTTTTGATACTAAGTGTTTCCTTGAAAGATAAACTGATAGCCTGTAATATATAGTGTAGCACTGTCTCAAAAAGAAAAAGGAAAAGGAAAAGGGAAAGGGAAAGGGAAAGGGAAAGGGAAAGGGAAAGGAAAAGGAATACTCCAGACATTGCAAACGTGGAGTTGTATCTCACCATGATAGTTAAAGCTTGTGGCTAGTTCATCTGTGTCCCTGCCTGTTCCCACCCCTCTCGGAGGTACCACCATTTCATCTGCAAATACTTTTATATGTATCTCATACTCTGTTTAAAAAGTAGTTCAATTTGTGATTCTGTCAAAAACCAGTGATACCTCAATAGCACCAACTGTCTAATGTTTGAATGAAGTGTTTGCTTTATAATTTTGTTTTATGGTGTAATTTCATAACTCGGATTTAAGGGTAGCTTTTCTTTTAAATAGCTTAAATATCTTTGAAAGAAATTTTAGGTTAGTTTTTTGGTTTTTAGAGACAGGTTTTCTGTGTAGCCCTGGCTATCCTGGAACCCTGTAGCCTTAAGTTCAGAGATTGGCCTGCCCCTGCCTTCTGAGTGTTGGGATTAAAGGTATGCACCATCACTGTCTAGTGGGAAACAGATTTTAAAAGTCTTTTTTAGTGCTGTGATAGAATTGTACAAACCTCACTGTGACCAGTATTAGAATATTTTCCTTACTCCAGACAGTCTGGGCTCATTAGCAATCACTGTTTACACCCCCCCCCCCCCCTTTTTGGTCTTAGGCTACTAATCTATTTTCTGTCTCTGATTTTTTTTTTCTTATTCTTTTGAGATAGTTTCTTATGTAGTCCAGGCAGTGTTGACCTTACTATGTAGCCCAGGATAGCCTTTAACCTCTCATCCCCTTTGCCTTTACTTCCAAAGTGTGGTGGTACATGCCTGCTACTCTGGATTTTCCTACTATTCGTATTTCATATAAAGAAATCATAGAACTTTATTTCTGTTAACAAAGTGTAATGTCCTCAGGGTCCAGCCATAGAGCAGCCTGATCTGTAGTCTCTTCCTTCTTGTGGCCAAGTGATACTCTGCCGTGTGGCCGCTGCCCACCGTGTTATCTGCTCACTCGCAGCTGGTCTCTGGGTGGCTTTCACTCGGCTCTTAAGATGCTGCTCTGCAAGCTCACGTACACCATACAGGGTTCTGGTTTCTCCAGTCAGCTTGCCAACGGGCCTTTGAAAACCTGCATTCTAGTGGGTGTGAATTGACACTTGTTTGTGGTTTTGATTTGCATTTTCCTAATGACTAGTCATTCTGAGCATGGCTTCCTGTGCCCACTGGCCAGTTGTATATGTTCTCTGGAGAAATGTCTGTTTATATCATCTGTCCATGGACATTTTTTTTCATTTTGATGTTTTGTGTGTATGGTTATTTTGCTTGTATGTATACATGTGCATCACATGTGTGCCTGGTGTCTCAGAGATCAGGAGTGGATGTCTGATTTCTTAGAGCTAGAGTTACAACCAGTTTTGAGCTGCCATGTGGATACTGGGGCTTGAACCCAGGTCCTCCAGAAGCTCAGCCAGTGTTCTTAACCTCTGAGTTTTCACTCCAGCTGTCCATATTTCAGTTGAGCTATTTGTCTCTCTCTTTCTTTCCTTTTTTCTTTCTTTCTTTTTGTTTTTTTCAAGACAGAATTTTTCTGCAGCTTTGGTACAGCCTTCAAGGTAGCCTTGGATGTCCTGCACTTGCTTTGTAGACCTCAAACTCACAGTGTTCTACCTACGTCTGCCTCCCTGAGTGCTGGGATCAAAGGTGAGCGCCACCACCTGGCTTTATATGTCTCTTTTTGATGTTGATCTGCCAGATTCTGTGTGGTTTCCAGGTATAATTCTTTTATTAGTATGTTTACAAAGTTTCTCTTCCATTCTGTGAATTGTCTTCTTACTGTTTTTTATTGAGATATGGTCTTTTGTTAACTCAGGCTGACTTTGAACTTGCTGTGTAGCTGAAGCAGGCCTGGAACTGTTGTCTTCCTGTCTCTACCTCGTTGAGTGATAAAGGATTACAGGTATATACAGGTATATATATGTTGAGGATGGCATGCTTATTTATTTATTATTTATTTTTATGTCATCCTTGAGGCACAAAGTCTTTGCACGTTGTGTGTGTTGGTGTGTATGGAGATCAGAAGTCAACTTCTTTCTTTCTCAGTCACTTTTTCCCTTGTTTTTTGAGACCAGATCTTTTACTAAACCTTAAGCTAGGCTGCCTATCAAGAGTATCTGCTCATCTGCTTCCTTAACACCAGGATTACAAGCACTGCCATGACTGGCTATCTATCTACTATCTATCTATCTATCTATCTATCTATCTATCTATCTATCTATCTATCTACCTACCTATCTCAGACAGAGTCCAAATGTAGCCCTGGCTGGCATGAAACTCACAGAGGTTTGTTAACCAGTGTTGGGACTAACGGTGTATTCCACCATGTGTAGCTGGCTTCATTTATTTAAAAATGTGGATCCTTTGGATCAAATTTGGTTTCTTATGTTTGCACAGCAAGCACTTTACCAACTGAGACCATCTCCCCAGACTTCACAGTGTCTTAAAAAATAAAAAGGTCTGTGTGTATGTGTATGTCTGTGTGTGTACTCAGGTGCCGTGTGTACATATGAAGGTCAGAGGACAACTTTGT